CCTGACCCCGATCCCTGCAGAGATGGAGGAGCTCAGGATGGAGCTGGGTAAGAGCTGCCATTAATTAATAATTAGCCTCTAATTAATCACTTCTCAACCTCCGATTAATTACTTATTAGCCTCTAATTATTAGCCTCTGCTTACTTATTAAGATGTAATTAATTATTCATTGGTCTCTAATTAGTGGCTTATTAGCCTCTAATTAATAATTTATTAGTCACTAATTAATAATTTATTAGCCACAAATTGATGATTTAGTAGTCACCAATTAGGTATTAGTCTTCAATTTATTAGTTATTAGTTTCTAATTAATTATTCATGAGTCTCTAGTTATGAGCATCTAATTAGTGGTTTATTAGCCACTAATTAATAATTTATTAGCCACAAATTAATGATTTATTAGTCATCAAATAGTTATTAGCATCTAATTAATGATTTATTAGCCTCCAATAAATGATCAGCTCCCAATTAGTTATTAGTGGCCAATTAATTAGTTTTTCGTTTCTAATTAATTATTCATTAGTCTCTAACTAGGTGTGTGGTTTATTAGCCACTAATTAGTAATTTATTAACCGTTGATTAGGTATTAGCTTCTAATTAATGATTTATTAGCCTCAAATTAGCTATTAGTCTTCAATTAATTATTATTTTATAATTAATTTTTCATTCGTCTCTAATCAGTTATGTGCATCTAATTAGTGTTTTATTACCCTCTAATTAATAATTTATTAGCCTGTAATTAATAATTTATAACATCTAATTAATGATTTATTAGCCTCCAATTAATGATCAGCCCCCAATTATTTATAAGTCCCCAATTAATTATTTATTACTGTGTAATTAATTATTCATTAATCTCTAATTAGTTATGAGCATCTAAGCAGTGGTTTATTAGCCTCTAATTAATAATTTCTTAGCCTCTCATTAAAGATTTATTAGCCTCCAATTAGGTATTAGTCTTCAATTTATTGGTTATTAGTTTCGAATTAATTATTCATTAGTCTCTAATTAGTCATGTGCATCTAATGAGTGGCTTATTACCCTCTAATTAATAATTTATTAGCCGCTAATTAATAATTTATTAGCCACAAATTAATGATTTATTAGTCACCAAATACTTATTAGCATCTGATTAATTATTTATTAGTCTCCAATTAATGACCAGCCTCCAGTTAGCTAGTAGGTCCCAATTAATTATTTATTAGTTTGTAATTAATTATTCATTAGTCTCTAATTAGTTATGAGCATCTAAGTAGTGGTTTTTTAGCCTCTAATTAATAATTTATTACCCACTAATTAATAATTTATTAGTCACCAAATAGTTATCAGCATCTAATTATTAACCAGCAATTAATGTTTAGCCTCCAATTAGTTATTAGTCTCCAATTAATTATTTATTAGCGTCTAATTAATTATTAATTAATTAGGATCATCTAATAAGTGGTTCATTAGCCTCTAATTAATAATTTATTAGCCACCAAATAGTTATTAGCATCTAATGGATTATTTATTAGCCTAGAATTAATGATCAGCCCCCAATTAGTTATTAGTCACCAATTAAATCTTTATTAGTGTGTAATTAAGTACTCATTAGTATCTAATTAGATATGAGCATCTAATTAGTGGTTTATTAGCCACTAATTAATAATTTATTTGTCACTAGTTATTAGCATCGAATTAATGATTTATTAGCCCTCAGTTAATGACCAGCTGTTAATTATTAGTCTCCAATTAATTCTTTATTAGTGGCTAATTAATTATTCATGAGTCTCTAGTTATGAGCATCTAATGAGTGGGTTTTTATCATCTAATTAATAATTTATTAGCCACTAATTAATAATTTATTTGTCACTAAATAGTTATTAGCATCGAATTAATGATTTATTAGCCCTCAGTTAATGACCAGCTGTTAATTAATTATTAGTCTCAAATTAATTCTTTATTAGTGGCTAATTAATTATTCATGAATCTCTAGTTATGTGCATCTAATTAGTGGTTTATTAGCCT